GCAGAAGCCCTACATGTACACGCAAGGCCAGGCCGTCCTCAACAGGTCCTTCTTCCCCGGCTTCGACACCCCGTCGGTCAAATGCACGTATTCGGCCACCGTGAAGGTAAGCGGTGCTCCCGGGAGCACAGACCCAGCCATCCCCGTCACGTCACACCTAGCGGGAGCAAGACCCTCCGCCAGTTTGCAAGGTTGCTCGCGGGGAAGCTGCCGGCTCCCTTGCAGGACGCGCCGAAACGTTGGGGCATCGCATCAGCAGCAATGCCCGGGCCCCTGTGCAGCGCTAGCACGTTGGAGGCGATGCTTGTTGCACTCGCCTCAAAGCCTTCGCTGCAGGCCCCCAGCAGAGAAGGCACTGAGAAATAAGTCATTTATACTCCTATTTTTCTCTTACATTCATCTTTAGATGAATACAAGCAGACCGCAGCAGCCCTTTTGCTTCTCCCCTGCCGCGCGTGCTGGGCGCCGCTTTGTGCAATCCCTTGCAAGCGGGTGCACGTGCCGGCCGTCCTGCCGAAAGCTCTTCTCTCCCAGTGGGAGGCGGCCGAAATGCTCGGTGCTTGATGCCAAAATATCAGCTAACTGTTGGGATCAGCCCGGTGTTTAAACCTCTCTGCTCTCCTCATGCTGCTGCATTTGTCTAAGTAATTCCTCTAATTATCACAGAAAACCCTATTTGTGCCCCATAGCAGTCTGAGGACAGCAGGATGCCTGCTCTTGGCCCTCAGCAGGAGGGCGACCAGGATGAGCTGAGTTTGGGGGGACACTCTGGAGGAAGGGGCGTGACGCCGGGCAGCACCGGGTCCTGGTGGCGGGGCTGGGGCTGCCGGACTTTCCGGATGGAAGGAGCAGCCGCTGGTCCCCAGGTTTAGTACAGAAACGGGACTGAATGATCCAAATTCCCTCCTTGCGTGCGGGTGGTCACGCGGTGGCAGCGGCACTGGGCCGCCCTGGCGTGCCAGCCTGCTGCGGACGAGGGAAGCCACTTACTGGTGTGACACCAAGCCAAGGCCGATGGCATGTGGTGGTATCAGCTGGTGATGTCAGAATTTCTTTATTTTGCCTCTTGCTCTGATTTCCACCCTTAAAGCTTCAGCAGCATTCCCCCCGATGGGTGAGCACGGGGCTCGGCTGTCGTAGAGCCCAGGCGTGATGCTTTGTACCAAGAAAACTGTATTCCCCGCGGCACCATGGGCGCTCGCCCCGCGTTTGGAAGAAGAGAGAACGGGATCAGTCTCCCAGGGCTCAGCCCAGGCTGCTGGATCGGCCACGGGTTCTACTTTGGCTTGAGAACGGGAAAAACGAGTTGTTGTGTAAGAAATGGGAGGAGAGCCAGCATCTGAAGGATCTGCATCCTTTGCCCTTTCATCACCTGCAGCTCCAGCATTTCTTTATCTCGCCGGCACCTCAGAGGGCAGCTCCGGGTGTCCTGGTGTTGCACCCAGCCGGTGTTTGAGCCCATGTGCCAAGCGATGCTGTCGCAGGGATGCAGCTGTGATCCTGAGTTGGAGCTCGGGTCGTTACTGCTTGGCTCTGCGCCCCAAAACCTGCAGTGCCCACAGCCCCGGCCACCTTCAGCGTGCTGGGATGTGTTTGCCATCAGACATCGTGGCATCCCTGGCTGGGTTAGCCGACATCCCACTGTGTACATTACGGATCTAATAGATGTTTCCATCTATGTGTCGAGGTCCCTGAGGGTTTCACGGCTGTGATGAGTGCCACAAGCTGGGAGAAGCAGAAGGATAACACCTTCGTCTTCAAGATGTCCCAACCAATCCCATCATACCTGATCGCTCTGGCTGTCGGGGACATTGTGTCTGCTGATGTTGGCCCAAGGTAAGTGGTTCTGGAGGAGACCCCAGGATTGAGCCCTGGCTGTGGGAGCCGCACGGTGAAGCTCCCATGCTGTGCTGTCCCATGGCTGCTGCCTGCTCCCTCTCCCTGCACCGCTGGGCTCTGGAGAGCAGGAGGCACGGAGACACCGACTGTAAGCATGACCCGGTCAGTCCCTCGTCTGCTGTGCGCGTGGTGCTGCGTCATCAGACCACGGGCTCTGCCAGGTGAGAGAGCTTCTTGCTCTCGAGAGTGAGGAGGAGCCTGGTGCCGGGTCCCCTCGTCTTCGAGGGTGTCCCTGGCTCTGCTCGTTTCACCCCCATGCACATGAATGAGAGCAGCGGGTCCCCGTTCACAGAGGGTCCCTCGTTTCTTCCCCAGGTCAGTGGTTTGTTCGGGTTCCTGGCTGTCACAGTAGCCATATAAAAGCCCTTTGACATTCAGACAAGGAAAGAAATGACAGCAGTTTGCACTGTCAGTCTCATTAGCTTCCTTTATCAGCAGGCTTTTATTTTGCTGTGGAATAAACACGTGCAGTTTTTGTCTGATGAAGCAATAGGGTAAAAGTCCGCTAATGGTTAAAACTTCCTCTTCTACACACTTGGCCAGGAGCCGTGTCTGGGCTGAGCCATGCCTGATCGAGGCTGCAAAGAAGGAGTATGATGGGGTGATTGAGGAGTTCCTGGCAGTTGGAGAGAAGCTCTTTGGACTTTCCGTTTGGGGCAGGTATGGCCTCCTGCTCCTGAAGGACCTTGTTCCCCGGGGCCGGGGAGGGAGCATCCCTCCATCCCCAGCTGCGTCTGCGGGAGAAGGTGGGTCTGACCCAAGCCGTCTGCTCTTCCCTGGCAGGTACGACATCCTGTTCATGCCGCCCTCTTTCCCCTTCGGCGGGATGGAGAATCCCTGCCTCACCTTTGTGACTCCCTGCTTGCTGGCTGGGGACCGATCCCTGGTGGACGTCATCATCCACGAGATCTCCCACAGCTGGTTTGGCAACCTGGTCACCAACGCCACGTGGGGCGAGTTTTGGCTGAACGAGGGCTTCACCATGTACGCCCAGAGGCGCATTTCCACTGAGGTCTACGGTGCGTGGCCTTGCCCGGCCGTGGGGTGCCGAGTCCCCCCTGCTTGCTGGCTGGGGACCGATCCCTGGTGGACGTCATCATCCACGAGATCTCCCACAGCTGGTTTGGCAACCTGGTCACCAACGCCACGTGGGGCGAGTTTTGGCTGAACGAGGGCTTCACCATGTACGCCCAGAGGCGCATTTCCACTGAGGTCTACGGTGCGTGGCCTTGCCCGGCCGTGGGGTGCCGAGTCCCTGCGTGTGGCCGTGCTGTCGCAGGCAGGGCCCATGCAGCTCCAGGGTCCGTGCGGACCAGTAGGGCCCATGCAGCTCCAGGTTCCGTGCACCGTGGCTCAGTGCACCCCTCTGAGCGCTGCGTGCGGGGCCAGAGCCTGCGCTGCATCTCGGAAGAGGTGAACATGCAATGCCCCAGGGGTTTCATGTTAGCGACAGAACCACCTTCGCTCCGAGAGCTGGATGGAGCGTCCGCAACCCCTTGCTAGGGACGTGGGTGCTGCCATTTTGCCCAGCCTCACCTTCCTCTTGCTCCCGCAGCTCCCTCGGGGAGCTGATACCAGCCACCCTGAGCTCCCCTCTGCTCACACGGTCACGTCCAGCAGCTCAGGCACTCCCGGCACCATTTGCTGCATCTGGAAAAATTTACATGGCTCTAAAAAGCTCTTGCTAACCAAGGGCTGGGTTGCTGTGCCTCTCTGCAACTCTACCATCCCAATGCCTTGTTTATTGGTTTCCTCCTCTCCCAGCTCATAAGCTAATGCTGTTTCCCTCCCCTGTAGCAGCACCCATTGCGCTTGAAGCGCACAGGGATCGGGTCGGGGTCTCCGAATGCCTCCTGCTTGTCTCTGCCCAGGTTTGGCATACACCTGCCTGGAGGCTGCGACGGGAAGGGCCCTCCTGCTCCCTCCTGCGCCAGCACATGGCCAACACGGGGGAGGACCATCCGCTCAACAAGCTGCGGGTGGTCATCGAGCCAGGTCTGTGGGGCGTCCCCGTCCTCATGCAGCCGGCGGGGGGGAGCGGGGGCAAGCGAGGTGTGTTGCGGGGAGAAGCCCTGCTGCTGGGGTGTTTCATGGCTTGCAGTAGAACTGGCACTGGTGGCGGGACCCGAGTGAGGCGATGGCTCCAGGAGGGATGTGCCAGGCTTGCACCCTGCACAGAAAGCAGAAATCTTGGCGCACGTGAGGGCCGTTTTGTTTTGCAGATGGGCAGATGATTTCTGAGGGTTTTCCCTTTTTCTAGGTGTCAATCCGGACGACACGTACAATGAAACGCCCTACGAGAAGGGGTACTGCTTCGTGAGCTACTTGGCCCATCTCGTGGGGGACCAGAGCAAGTTCGATGCCTTCCTCCAGGTCGGTACGAGGAGGTACCAGGTGGAGGTGCCAAGTCATCCAAAACCCCGCGGGGGGAGGTCAGAGCACAGCGGGACCCTGGGAAGGACGGGCTGAACAGGGTGGCTGGGGAGAGGAAGAGGAGATGGGAAATAGAGATGTTCACGGGGGGAATGAGATGAGGGCAGAGCTTGGCCCCGCTCTGGCAGCAGGTGGTGGCAATGCTCAGAGGTGTCCCGGGGGGTGCAGGGGGCTGGGCAGCCCCTGCGGGGGGAACAGGGGACAGCGTGGGCTCGGCAATGCTAACCCCCCTGAGATGGAGCACAGGGGGGGCCGGGCAGCAAAGCCAGGGGTGAGCACATGCGGCATCACACCCCGGCCATCCCCGCAGGCCTATGTGACCCGGTTCAAGTTCCAGAGGCTCACAGC